CTCTCTGTCACAAGTGATTCGCAGAAGTTAAAAGAATACATTACCTTCAAGATCATTTCACAAACGTCACGATTGCAATCGGCAAGTAGACCAGCCATACATACCTGGCAAGAGCTAAGTGTAAGGGTGTCAGACTGATACTCACAGTGGGGCCGGACCACCCCCTGGATGGTGCATGAGACTGGCCCAGAGATCTCTAGGTAAAATTCAAGATGGCATTGTCCAGCTCTTGTTCAAGTAAAATCAAGTTGCTTGGACAAGGTTTCTACTGGCGATGGAATCAGAAGGGTAAATGGATTTTTCAGGCAGCTTGAAAAGTGCCACCCAAACTTTGGAAGAGAAGTTCAGCCAGAAATCTTGATTTGAAAATGTGCAGCAGCTCTTACTTTTTAGAGGCATGGTTGCTAGGGCGTTGAGGAAGATTCACCAGAAAATTATTCGTCGCTTACATGTGAAACCAAATCTAGCAAATCCGTGATTTGGAGAGTTTTCAATGGATTTACCAGGAGAGCTTTTTTCCTGTTTAAGTGAGGACATCATTTGTCGCACAAACTTTGGGCACGAATTCGTCAAAACTAATACTGAACTCATCCACAAGATAAAAGTTCGAAGAGCACAGTATTTGGATGGATGTCTGTAGTGTATTGATTACCATAGCAACATTGTTATGCTATTATACTGATCACTCGTTACTGTAATATTGTGAAACTACTGCATGATGTAAAAGTACTAGCCCTGTGTGAAAGTAGAATTGTACTGGATATAGAGAATGATCGTGATGAATAAAGCAGATTAGATATGCGACATGAAAGGGAGTACTTCTCTGCCTCAGTAAAGCTAATATCTCCTAAATGACTACACAACAATGTCGATGGTGTTGAGGTGGACAAAAACAGCGTTTTGAAAAAGAATTTTCAGGATTCATTGAAAAGGTGTGAGGTTATTGTGTCTGGAGAACAACCAATGGTATTTAAATTTTACAAGAACACTGAAGTGCTAATGGTAAATTTCCATTACGGATATTGGAACAAGCATGGTGTCCCACAGCAGTAAAGTATGTTGTGTACAATTCTGTTATTAGTAAGACAAGTGAATGAATGAATGAATGAATGAATGATTAGATTCATGTTACAAAAGGGAATGTTTTTCTGTTCCTTTTTGTAACTTTGTTCCCTAATGTAACATCCAGAAGGTTACAAAAGGGAATTTGTTCCCTTTTGTAACAAGTTCAGTGTTACATTAGGGAACAAGTTACAAAAGGGAACAGAAGAGTGTTCCCTTTTGTAACTTGCTGTTCCTTTTTGTAACCTTTCTCAAGTTCCCTTTTGTAACCTAGGTGTTGTGTTTTCGAACTTGTAAATTTGCTTTTTGTAGTTGCAGTTTTCTTCTTTCTTTTAACTATATGTTTGTTAGGGGTATAAATTAATGCTGAAACTGTTATATTTAACCGAATTCATCTGTTAAAATAGAGTAAATTGAGCAGGGATAGCTTCTGATGATTAACTTCCGGTAAAGCGAGAGGAACTGGAAATGACCGATTTTTTCGGCCAAGATGGCGTCCATGGACGACAGCTCTAAAAAGGTGTGTGTAAATTGTTTTGTTGTAGAAAACCCGCTTACTCTAGTAAATGTTAACGCAGAATATGAATAGATTCAGCATATGGAAAGCATATGGAAATGACATCGTAAGATTTTTGGAAACAGATGACTAATTTACCAGGTCGATCGTGTCACGATCGCGACTACGTGCT